TCAGAGATGCCTTCTGGGTGAGTGAGGGTGGCCCGGCGCTGGATGGGCGCAGCGGCCAGGGAGGACCAGTTCCCCGGGCCGCTGGTGGGGACAAGAGGGTGTCAAGTTAGTTGATTTTTGTTCTGGACTGTCGTGGAGGTGGCTTGGGTCACTGTTCCTTCAGAGTGGAAAGACAGGGCATCCTCAACCTGGGGTGGATTTCTCTCCAAGGTCAACGCCACCCATGAGGGATCTCCCGAGGTCACTCCCAGGGCAGGTGTCTCCTCCGGGAGGCCCCTCTCTGCAAAGCAGGAACTTTTTAGGAGTCTCAGAGTGCGTCCAGGCGCGAGGAGGAGCTGGGCAAGTCACTTTGTGACTCTGGGCCTCAGTCTCTCCATCTTTAATGGAGATAAACAGACATACCACCTGGGTAGGAGGAGTAAGCCGGGTGATCTCAAGTACTAAAGCTTCTTGCATCTTAAATGTGAATCCCCTCCCCTTCCTAACCTGTAACCTCGGCCCTGGCAGACCTGAGAGGCACTTCTGCAAGGTGGCTGGCTGGGCAGTCCCTTGCCTGTGGGCCTAAATTCAGCACGGGCATTACCCGTCTGGTCCTAGAACTCAGAGCAGCTGGCCTGGGTGAAGGGAAGGTGGCTGGAGCCTTCAAGGCCAGGTGGCACCCCGGCTGCTGGCTGTTGCCAGCTGTCCTTCCACATCCCAGAGGGGTGCTCCACACCTCTGGCTGTCCCAGTGGCTCCTGGGGAAAAGCGGAGACCGCTTTGGTCAGAGAATGTGTGATTCCGAGGGGGCCGCCTCAAACCCGAGAGGGTTCACTGGTTCTCTGCTCAGCTGGCTCTGCCCCGGCCAGTGTTCCAGCCCTGCCTGGCCTCTTTCCTGCAGCCATAGCCAGGAGGGTGAGAGCGAAGGAACCAGGCCTTGCTGCCTTCCTGGCCAGCTCTGCATGGGCCCGTGGCCTGCTGCCCCCACTGACTGCACAGTGGAGAGGGTTCTGCCTGGGGACGGCATCCTTAGCCTCGGTGGGCCTCAGTTTCCCCATGTCCACAAAGAGGGAGTGGGACCAGCCCAGAGAGGCCAATGGAAACACAGCTGCGAGGCCTGTCGGCAGTACCAGGCACTGGGGTGCCCACAGCCCGGGCTGGCAGCTGGACCCAGGGTGGGGGTGAGGATGAGTCACCACGTTGCTGCCCTGACTTGGAGCTCGAAGTTGGGGCAAGGGCTGGGGCTGGAAACCAGGCTGTTGTGGAGCTCAGGGAACCCTGACCATTTTACCACCAGGATCTCGTCCCAGTCCAGGGCCTCCAAGAGTAAAGCCACAACACAGGACATAGGCAGGGTCTTCAAAAGTTCATGGAAGACAGGTACCATGGAAACAAATGCATGGATTTCAAGAATTTGTGCACCAAAATAAACTGCCACCTTAATTCCTTGAACTTTTCGAGTCCCCCTTGCCGAGAGCGGGGTGTAGTGGTAGCACCCCAGCTCCGCACCAGCCACCCTCTGGGCTTCACCAGCCGCCTCTCTGAAGCTGGCTACTCGGACTGAGGACACAGCTTCCTGGAGAGGCCTGTGTGGGCAGACAGGAGCCTGCAGGAGCTGCTCACATGGCCCAGCAGCTGCCCTCAAGGTCCCTGACAGCATCACCTGCCCCAGGGCTCTGGACTCCAAGCCCCCTTACAGCCCAGCCCGGCCCGGCCCAGGGTAACAGCGAAGTATCCTGAGTGCCGAGATGCGCCAGACCGTCCCAGGACTGAGTGTTCACGTCTTACCCTCACAAGACCCCGGATGGAGATGTTCTTGTACTCCGATTACTCAGCGGAGGAAACGGGCTCAGAGAGCTTCGGGGACTTGCCCAAGGTCACACAGCTGGGAGTGAGCCCTGGCAGGCTGGCCCAAGGGCCCCAGTCACCCAGTATCATGCTGTCTCTCTCTCCCGGGAGGGCCGCACTGACTCGAGGTCCCAGAACCCAGGGCAGGGAAATAGAGGAAAAACTCTCTGCCCTCCCGGAGAGGTAAGATCAGATGAGGTGGAGAAGACAGGTTTTGCCACTCGTTTGCAGACAGAGCTGTAATAGGAAAAGGCTATTGCCCCGGCTGCAGCAGGCATACCAGACGCAGAGGCCGTGCGTGGGCCTCCTTCCCGGCTCCCACCCCAGCCAGGGCACCCACAGCAACCTGGCAGTGTGCTGTTTGGAAAGAGCGGGATCCTGTTTGGTATCCTAGCACTTCGGTTATCTGACAACCTCAGCCATCCAGAGCCCAGGTGTGAACTCACCCTTCCCAGCTGTGCGCGCAGAAGGCCGGGGAGCGAAGTGGTTTCTGAGGGGGCACAGATGATGCCGCCGAGCACCTGGTCAAAGTTCACAGACTCGGAGGCGATGCCCACTGCTTTCAGTCGTGGCCTAGGAACTGTCATTTTACACACCACCTTAACAAGCAGAGTACCCGGATCTATTTTATGTTTCGGTTTTGCTGTAGGGCACATGTGCCCACCAGAGGGAAGGAAAGTGAGAGGGCACACCCTGGGGGTATAACCATGCTGCAGTCCCTTCTCCACATTCCTCCGGGATTTCTGGCACACACGCACGCGTGCTTGGCCTGATTTTTAAGCCGCCAGGTCTGGGACTAGAACTGCACAGTTGGCCTTCACCTCCACGCCACCTCTGGTCCACACCCGGCATCTTTCAACCTATCCACCTGGTGACTAGCAGGGTCTGCAGACAGTGGGTGAAGCGTCTGTGGGTGACCTGTACCCTCACAGGCAGTTGTGCCCATGCCTAGTAGCCTGGTGGCAGGAGACAGACAGACATGCTGCAAGGCAGATGTCACGGCTCAGATGTGGTGGGAGCCTCTGGCGTGGGAGCAGTCATGCTGTCCCTCGGCAGGCCTGCGTTCGCAGTTCTGTCCTGCGGCCACCTCGTGATTATTTATAGCCTGCTCTTCGCTGCAGTGGAGCATGAGATGCAGGCTGCCCGGGGAGTGAGGGGCGGCCTAGCCGCAGGAGGAAGGGACCATTTGATTTCTGTTGCACACGGCAGAAAGCACCTCCGCTCTGCAGGAAGTCTGTGGCTGAGCCTCAGAGCGGGACTGTCAGTGAGGCAAGGCTGAGGTGACAGTACCAGGTATCCAACTTGAAAGAGCCTTAGATCTTACATAGCCTGCCGAGTCAGAGGGTGTGGAGGCCTGTCCCCGCCCCAGCCTGCCAGGGGCTCTGTCCCCTCAAGCAGCGCCTGGGTGCATCCTGGCCCAGGGCTGGCGGGTGGGCCACTGTGAAGCAGACGGTGCTGGAATGAATGAATGGGTGGCACACGTCTCCACGGTCCACTGCCTTCCCGAGCCCGTTTCTCCTTCACTTCACCTCAGTTATGTTCTACGACTTTCAAGCTACCAGGGCTGGAACTTGAGCCTTGGTCAGCCATGTGGGATTCAGGGATTGAGCTTCCTTCAGCACTAGGCTATGGGGCTGGCCCATCAACACGTATTTTTCAGCAGGGCTGTCTCGAGTTGGTCCAAGTGGCACACCTGAGCTTCCCCTCCTACCTCCAGTCAGGTGGCTGAGACTGTCACCCTCAAGGGAGTCACAGTCCCGCCTGGAGCGGGAAGGTCCCACGGGGCCAGGCAAGGGGTGCACAGAGCAGAGCAGTGCGGAGCTGTGCCTTCGCCCCGACCCCCTCCGGGTGCCCGGCTGCCTGAACGTCCAATGGCCTTTGCAAACTTGTCACTGGACACTGTTTCTTCTGTTAGAGAGACAGGCAGGCATCCCCAGCATGGTCTTCACACCCATCCCCAGCCTCCACTGGCCCGGAACACTGGCACGCGCATCCCTGGTGTGTTTTGCACACACGCCGGGAGCCTTCCCACACAGGGCAGTGTTACAGAGCATTACATTACTTCTGCTTCATCATCCAGGCCCTCCCCCTTCCGAAGAGAGGAAGTCTAGTTTTAAACCTGGTTTTATTTACTCATTTTAAAGTTTGACCAGGACAGAGGGTGCATGTGCTTGAGAGAGGGAGGGAGAAAGTGCCTCTCGGTGGGGAGTGGCCATGCCAGTCCTTTCTCCGTTCCCCCCTGCTTTGGGGATTTTGAGCACGCACACACACACCCGGCATGTTTCCCAAGCAGGTCTTGAAACTCATGGTTGGCCATGTAAGACCGACTTTCCTGGTCTCCAGGATGGGGGCCAGCTCTGACCTGGTTTTATTGAGATCCATATCTTATCTTTTATGAGGTAGTGAAAAGAAAACAGGAGAAAAGTATGGGCCTGAGAAGACGGAGCCATATATGCTACAGAGACCTCTAGTCCTTGGGTAGGAACGCCCATGGGGTTCTGGGGTGACCAGGCCTGAACTTTTTCCTAGCCATGTGCTCACCTTCCTCCCTTCGAGGCAGGCCTCCAGCTTCGTCTGAGAGCCAGGCTGGGGGGAGCTGGGCCCCCAAGCCCACCTGGCAGGCACAGCTACTGCGGCAGGGAGAGCTCACCAGGGCCACAGCGGGACTGAGGCCTGGCCCGGCCCTACCCTCTGCCTGCTCAGCTGCTGTGCCTCTTCCCGTTCCCTAGCCAAGACTGAGGTTCCCCTTTAGGAGGCTCCAGTCAGGGGCCCCACTTGGCCTGTCCTAAGCTGTCTGTCCCCATCCGTCCTGGGACATCCAGAGAGGCTACC